TACAAAAGGGATGTATGTGGCTGTACAAAGTTATATTCATGTGTTTATGAACTTTGGTAATCTGCTCAAATGCCTACATATAATTTTTCAATTATCTATAGTTTTCACCGTGAAATAAAAATCAGTTATTTTCTCAAACATTATAATGAAATATGGGTGTTACAATTACGCTAGGAATAATAATGACAGAGAAGTGTAACTTTGTTCTTTTTTTCAAGGAAAAGGAGTATTTTTGTTTTTAAGTCTAGCCCTCAAAATATTTGGTCTTTACATGCTCTTAAAATAAAATTTATATGGATCCCCAGGGCTTTTGTTTATGTGGGTTATGTCTAATAGATATTTCCTGTATTACAAACTAAAAACTAAAAAATTTTTAAAAATTTTTGTTTCATTTGGAAATAGCAATGACAAGGCAATTTTATGTTAATATAAGTAACTATTTTTTATACATTGTTTTTATAATTTTGAAAATTTCTTTAATGTTTGGCTTAACAGAGGTCAGTTGGATCCTCTTATTTGTTTCTGCATTGAGTCTGATGAGATATCATACAATATGTATCCACTAGAAAAAATCATGGTATGTTCATGAAAGGAGGAGAATAAAAAAAATGTCAAATAAAGTCTTTGTTCTATTATGAAAGTAGTTTTGACATTGTAGACCTTCTTACAGGGTCTTAGGGGCCCTTGTGGTCTGGGGCCCACTCTTTGTGCTAAAGTAAAGTGGCAGTTTGTTTCAAAATATAAAATAACAAGGATGTCTGGGTGGCTCAGGGTTGGGCATCTGCCTTTGGCCCAGGGCGTGATCCTGGAGTCCTGGGATCAAGTTTCGCATCAGGCTTCCCCGCATGGAGCCTGCTTCTTCCTCTTCCTGTGTCTCTGCCTCTCTGTGTGTCTCTCATTAATAAATAAATAAAATCTTTTTAAAAAAACCCAAAATATAAAATAACATAATAAAGAACAAAACTTTGAAAGAGATTTTCATTTGCCTTGGTTTATAATATCTGTGTCTAAAAGTAAGCTGATGACGAATACTCACCATTTGCTTCAATGTGGATAGAACTGGAGGGTATTATGCTGAGTGAAGTAAGTCAATGAGAGGACAAACATTCTATGGTTTCATTCATATGGGGAATATAAAAAATAGTGAAAGGGATTATAGGAGAAAGGAGAGAAAATGAGTGGGAAATATCAGAGAGGGTGACAGAACATGAGAGACTCCTAACTCTGGGAAATGAACAAGGGGTAGTGGAAGGGGAGGGGGGGTGGGGGGACAGGGTGACTGGGTGATGGGCACTGAGGGGGGCACTTGACGGGATGAGTACTGGGTGTTATACTATATGTTGGCAAATCGAACTCCAATAAAAAGAATAAAAAAAATGAAGTTGAGAACCATATTAAAATTTTAGTAAGTTCACTCAAATTTGGTCAACTTATTTCTTTATTAATACTTTTCCCATGAAACTCAAGATTGTTCTTTTTGTGTAATCTCCCTTTTGTGCTTTCTGTTTATTTTGCCTTTATTTAAGGAAAAAATAAAGACCAAAGTTTCATCATTTACAAATGAGCTAAGATTATTTACAATCATGTTACTTTCTGTGCCTATTTCCAAATATTTTATCGTTGTTTTGAAAAATTAGGTAAGCAGTACTGTTTCTCAGGTACCCATGATCCTATCTTAATTGAGAACTCAATTCTTTTTTGACAACTCTTTTGATTTTGCCTTCTAAAGATCAGACCTAAATTTAGTAAAAAGTAAAAATTTCAGAATATCTTTTACACCTAAAACTATCTTTGAAATCTCTTAGAGGCTCTCTAGAAAATCACAAAGATTTTTTCTTTCATCTTACAAAAGGAGATGTTAGAAATAATTAAGTTTGTTTGATATGTTACTATTATAAGAGTTTCATGTGAGGGGAATTGCCATCATATCTGAGAAGAGATGTGCTCAGCATGCCCTGGGTTAGATCTATATATGTCACATATCACTATAAATATTTCATAAATTGTGTGCTTTGTGGGATGTGTTTGGAGATTTGACAATGCCTTTGCTGTCCATAATATGTTTGCATCCTCAGGGGAAACACATCAAAACTTTTATGATATAGTTATATATTGTATCTGAATAGAGAATTTTATTTATCTTCTTTTCTGATATTATTGGTTATAGTATGAATTAAGTACAGCCATTAAGTATCTGTCATCTTTGTAAAGTTTCTGTTTTACTCTAATGGTTGCTTGAGGGCTCTCCTAAAAGCTACAGTAAATAGTTTGTGCCTGCCACAAAGATTCAGAATACTAGGGAAAAGGACTATCATAAGTACTCTGAACTATTGATATTTCAAAGAATAGTCTCTTGGGTACAGGCACCTGAGGTGATATAGCTTAGATAACTTTTATGTAGTACCAGTAGACTCTGTCAGGAATCCTAGAGCCCTTTAGAATAGAAGCAGATGGCTTCATGAAAGCGGACTGCTAACCCAGGATCTAGCAGAACAAGAATGACATAAAACTGAATGAAATAATAAGAATATTTTATTGTATTTATTTGGAATATTGTTGATTAATTTTAATATTCCATTGCTTTATGGCTCTAGATTTGTAAAACAAACTGATGGAGGCCTTTGTAGTTAATTGACACTTGCTGTTAAATAATCAGGGGAAGTCTATGAGAACAGCCTTTTTTTGTGATCAATAATGATCTCTTTGATTATTTTGATCATATGAGGTAGAAGGGGGACACTGTCAGGAAAAATTAAGAGACTTTCAAGTAGGCAAAAAAAAAAAAAAAAAAAAAGAAATCACTGGGCTGTCCAATCTAGTGCATCCTTCTCAGTTATCTGCACCTTTCATTGTCTTTGAGGTATTTTACAATTCTGTAGGTTGTAGAAAATTTATAGTAATGCATATAATTCTTTAGTTTTCAGAGCAAAAATTTTTGCTTGTTTACTTGAAACTGTCAGTGTTTTATAAAAAATAAACACTTTGTGGCAGAGGGAGGTGAAGATAGGAAAAGAGTTTGAGGGAGACAACTGTAGAAGGGCCATTAGTGCAGTAATAAAGAAGTCTAACATTGAGAAGTATTCTATCTTTACCATAGTTGAGCCACAATTGCCAAACCTATGTATGTTAGAAGCTTGTTGCCTTTTCAGAAGTATTGGAAGAGATAATTTTCAGGTTTGCTAAATAGGTATTGTCCCATAATTAAGCTCATTAGCAACTAAGATAAATTATACATGAAATACTCCCTGGAAGCAACAAATTTAACATTTAAGTATTCTTAACTTCGGGGTTTGCTCTTGTGTTATTCAGAGCACCACAGGCAGTTTAATGGTAATGAAAACAGACAGGCTGAAAATGACTTCTCATAGCTCTACTATAAAGCAGATCTCAGCTCTGGGCTTTGTGATCTCAGAAGACATCTGCAGCAATTTGCTCTACATAGGGCTAAGGACTTTGAGGGAAGACTAGCCTAGCAATCTGTCTGCTACCCACACTTCAACACCTTCACTCCTGGATGTAATATGAAATGGACATTTTGGACTGAGATTCTCTATTTTTCTTCTATGGTTTTTGCCCGCTGAAGGGTTATTTTTAACACTCTAAACCTAGTTGTGAATGAAAGGTAGGCATTCGCTGTTCATACTACTAAATTCTGCCAAATAGGTTATAAATTTAGGCAGTTTAATAGCTATATAGGGCAGAGATCAAGAATAATCATATATGTGTATAAGATGCTCTTGGAAAAATCTGAATTTTGGTAAAAACTGCTATTATGACAGTATTTTTGTAACTTTTCAGTTAGTCATTAATATGAAAAAAAGAAGAAATGGAAAGGGATTAAAGGCTGGAAAAATGGGATCCCTGGGTGGCGCAGCGGTTTGGCGCCTGCCTTTGGCCCAGGGCGCGATCCTGGAGACCCGGGATCGAATCCCACGTCGGGCTCCCGGTGCATGGAGCCTGACTTCTCCCTCTGCCTGTGTCTCTGCCTCTCTCTCTGTGTATGACTATCATAAATAAATAAAAATTAAAAAAATAAAAAAATAAAGGCTGGAAAAAATATTTTATGTTCTGAAATATTTTTTTTTTAATTCTTTTTTAATTTTTATTTATTTATTTATGATAGTCACAGAGAGAGAGAGAGGCAGAGACACAGGCAGAGGGAGAAGCAGGCTCCATGCACCGGGAGCCCGACGTGGGATTCGATCCCGGGTCTCCAGGATCGCGCCCTGGGCCAAAGGCAGGCGCCAAACCGCTGCGCCACCCAGGGATCCCTTTTTTTTATTTATTTATTTATTTATTTTTTTTTTTTTAATTCTTTTTTATGTTCTGAAATATTTTTGAACTAAAACATCAGGTTGGTTATTGTAGTAAAGTATATTTTGCTTTTATAATATTATTCAATGTACCCAATAATCATCATGAACCAACACATTTCATTAAGATACAAACTTAATGATACTGAGACACTGAAATTGTGATTTTTAAAGGACTAAGCATAAACTTTATGCAAATATATTTAGTCTTATAAAATCCTTTATACACTTATATATATGTTTGTATTATATTGTCATCATTATTATGATTATGATCATTATTATTTGTCAAAAAGGGCAATGAAATGCCTAATCCTGTCTTTCTTCCCTGTAAGGGGCTAAGGGTTCTTTATTAGGTTCAGAATATGTGGTGGGGGAGGACAGGATCTTGGGTAAATATCATGTATAAAGGACACCCTAATGTTTTCGTAGAGTAAGCAAAGAAACAGAAATCTTCAAGGGAACATGAAAATCATTTTGCAAGTTGCAGGATTCTCTAAGCTATTCCTGAGGTCAGCCCTCTGATCTACTCACACTGCATCCCTTTTAGAATGCCCAGAAATATCTGAAGACCTATGGATTTTCAGATTTGTGCAGGTCTGGTTATAGATAACAGATATCTACCAGACTACAGTTAATCAAAGACATTACTGTGGATAAATTTTCACGAGCCCCATTTTTTCATACCTTTTCCCCCATGGATACACCCCCTGATGTGATGATGACATCAGCACGACTGATACCCTCATTCAGGGCATTGAGTAAGTCATCTGGGCTGGAAAAAAATAAAGACAAATTAATTATCCACTAGAAAAAAATTTTAGATATTTAAATGCCAACTTAAAACTAGACCATTTTATTCACCGAGTAGGCATTAACATGGGGTATAGCACTATATACTGTATGAAGTGAGAATCAAAAAAGGTCTCTGCCCAATGGAAGCATAACTGTTATTGCAGAGAAAGAACCTTATAAATATGGAAGTAGTGGCTACTGGTATTTTCGTGGGGCTTTCCACTCTAACAGGGCAGCATAATGAGGGAAGACATTGAGGTGCTGGTAGGTGTCTAACCAGCCCAGTTTGCCTTGGATAATCCCAAATTTAGTATTGAAAGTCACATGTCCTAGGAAATCCCAGGCAAATGGAGATGGTTGGTGACCCTAGGTGTTGGGACAGGTCATGTAAGACTCTTTATAGGTATAGGGAATAGGACTTAAGTTAGGCCTTGAGAAATAGGCAAGACTTTTTCAGGGGGAAAGACTGAGAAAACGCTTTGTAAACAAGAGGATCAGCCTGTGATGTAGCTTCAGTGTCTAGAGTGAAGAGAGAGGCTGAAAGGATAGGATGAATATTAGGGATTGAAACTAGGCAGATTCCTGATAATGAACTGAAAAGACCAGTTTATAGGCCCTTTGATTGCACAGGTCAAAGGTCGGGAAGAAGAGATGGAGCAAAATCAAGAGTCAATCTTGTGGATGTTAGAAGGGTTACAAAGGCATAACTTGAGATTGATGAATTGAGGAAAAAAACCAAAGTGTCAGGCATGAGGGCTTATAGGGGGATAGAAGGCAAAGGTTAGCTAAAAAGGACTTTGTAGTTACTATTTGAATTTCGTACAAAGGTACTGGTAATGTACACTGCACTTGCACTCCCCTTCAGATGACAGAAAGGGAGCCTTTTAAGGAATACCTATCTAGCCTACACCCTTGTTTTCTGAGAACTTCCTATGTGTGGGGAGGGGTGGTTGTGGTTCTCTTTCTTCTCCATGGACTTCTAACATGTACATCTAAAAAGGGAGTAATCCTAGCTTCTGTTTTTCTAGTTCTTGTGTTTAGTCCCTCTAGAGGACTATTTGGCTCTTGGGTTCCATGAGATAACCCTATATCTTCCCATAAACCCCTCCTTTGCTTAAGCTAGCCTCAATGTTTTTTTGTAACTTGAAATCAAAGGATATCTCAATGAGATAGCATACATTCCCCCAAATCACTCTTAGTGGTGAAGTTTTTTCATGTCCCTTTATCTTAATGCACTATTTAATGGGGGAGGGAGGGAGAGAGGAGAAGGGAAAGTGGGTGGAGGAGAAAAGATCTGTAACTAGGACATCATTTCCCTTTTTAACCAGGGATGACAGAGGTAAGGAGAGGACCTTGAGATTCATGTGAAAGGCTACCTTTGGCTCTGTAAGGCTCTAGAAGAGATAAGCTAGTTGGGAGATGACATAGTACAGAGATCGAGAGTACAAATTCTGAAGTCAGACCACCTGAAGTTAAATCCTGGTGCTACTATTTGCTAGATGTAGAACCCTGGACAAGTTGCTTAACTTCTCTTTGCCTAAGCTTTCCATCAATAGAGTAGAGATAATATAGGGTTGTTCTGAGCATTAAGTGACATAATACATATAAAACAGTTTGTGGAATAGTATATAGCACAAATTAAGTTTTAAAGAAAGGTTAGTTGTTATTACTGCTGTACAGAAGCTTATATAAACATACTTAACAACTTGGCAAACTTCATCTTTAACATGCTTAGTAGTTTTTATTTAGGAGAATATTCATGAGTAACACAGAAGAAAATCATAGATTGGGCCTTAGATACATTCAGAACTGTATGTGAAAGTCCAAATGGCTCAATAGCAAGCTAAACCTGGTTCCAGACTAATAGTTTCATTTACTAGTTGGTTATCTCACTGGATCTGGATAAAATTCTCCTTTTCAAGCACTGGCCTGTCTGTAAGTATACCGGGGGTTGTTTGGCTCTGAGGAGCAAGCTCCCAAGGAGAAGACCCACACGTAGAAGTCTGAAAACTGGCTCACATGGGCTTCAAACTACAAACATAGGAACTCTTTAAAATCATCCACTTAATTGCTTATGCAGCTAAAAAGGAACCCAGGTATTTAATAAAGATAGGATCTATGTGTAAAACATAAAACAAAACAAAACAAAACAACTTAAAAAATCCTTTTCAAAGTTAAACTGGTTGAGCAAACATTTTAGAAGAATTATATTCAGTAATGGGTGTTTTTAAAGTATTTTGAATTAAGTATTTTGTATAGATTCTTCATTAATCTTTTTCATTTTGCATTAGTGAAAAAGATAGCAATAGCAACTTATTCCGTTGTGTTGAAATACTGTAAGATATGCATAATCACTGCATGTTGAGAGCTCAGGGCCTCTTGCCTTACTGGATATTATTATTAATCAGGCTGAGCCAAATAGCTGGCCAATGGAATAAATGGAAAAATACAAATGTAGGATAATGTGGAACGTAGTTTGGGTGAATGGACAGTGAATATTATTAACAAAATATAATTTTGTATTAGTACAAAGAGACATTAGCTAATTTCACCAATTTCACAATATGTAACTTATATCATGTCAACTCTAGAGGATTATGGTAAAGTGACATAGCAGTAGTGACATACACATCTTCGTTATTAATCTTTGTAGGTGGATAAAGGTCCTGGGACACGCCAGCTGATGATGCAAATAAACATACATTTCAGTGATACTTTTTCCTATTCATTGTTTCTACATTATCTTGGAAGATGTTTTTTCCCTATTTTATAAAACTGCAGAGACATCAGCTCTTCATATGAACTTTTATAACTTACAGAAATAAACTAAAAGGGATTTTATGCCTTTTAGTACTCAAATAATATTTTCTTTTTTTAAAAAATTATTTATTTATTTATTTATTTATTTATTTATTTATTTATTTATTTATTTATTTATTTATTATAGTCACACAGAGAGAGAGAGAGAGAGAGGCAGAGACACAGGCAGAGGGAGAAGCAGGCTCCATGAACCGGGAGCTCGATGTGGGATTCGATCCCGGGTCTCCGGGATCGCGCCCTGGGCCAAAGGCAGGCGCCAAACCGCTGCGCCACCCAGGGATCCCTCAAATAATATTTTCAATGTTGCTTTTACTCTGTGTCTGGTGTATTCACAAAATCACTGAATCTCAAAGTTGGAAAGGCTTTTTTGGGGGGTCATTGTGTTGGGTATCACAGCTAGGTGCATTCTTTGGTCCTCCTCTATCTGCTGCCTCTCTCCTTGACTTTACTTTCTGTTGCATATTTCTGGTCTCTGGGATCTAGTTAGAAATCATGGCTTAGTAGAGGGTCAGGTACAAATGTATGACAACAGTGAAAGGGTCTATAACTTCATTTATATTGCATACTATAACTCTACTGCTTCACAGTAAGTCTGTGAGGTAGATTGAACAGGTAATATGCTTGTTTTATAGAAAAAAAGGTATTAGAGTAAAGGAATATTTTATTTATTTTTAAAATGGGCTCCATGCCCAGCAACCGGAGATCAAGACCTGAGCTGAGATCAAGAGTCAGATGCTTAACCAGCTGAGTGACCCAGGCATCCCCAAAGTTGTGTTTTTTTTTTTTTCAATTTTTTTTTTTTAACTTTTATTTATTCATGATAGGCACACAGTGAGAGAGAGAGAGGCAGAGACACAGGCAGAGGGAGAAGCAGGCTCCATGCACTGGGAGCCCGACGTGGGACTCGATCCCGGGTCTCCAGGATCGCGCCCTGGGCCAAAGGCAGGCGCCAAACCGCTGCGCCACCCAGGGATCCCCCAAAGTTGTGTTTTAAAGGTGAGGTAGAGCAGTAAGTGGCAGAGCTAGAACCAGAGCCTCTGATTCTCATTAAGTCTTTATTCCATCCAACTGACTAATCAGCCTGATTGTCTAGTTTTTTCAGGAGTATGACATGTCATATAAGGAAAAGCCTCATGAGAATGGGCCCTTGTGCAAAAATATCAAATAGAGGATGTTAAGGCAAAAAGTGAGAATCTATTTATGTTGACTAGAAAAGTATATGTGTGGACATGTTAGTAGAATTCTGGGGAATGAAACAAATGTGATTCTGAAACCTATATTCAGATGGAAACTAAATAAGATTTTGATTAAACATAACTTTAGGGCTTATTTACAAGTCATAAATTTGCTCTTTTTTATGATTCATATTATATTTCAAATGACAAAAATATTTCCAACATAACAGAATAGTATAACAGCCATGTATACATCTTTCAGATTTGGTGAACACTAATATTTTCCCATATTTACTTCATATTCCCTCTCCCCTCATTTGTTTACTTTAAAGAAATAAAACAAGTTTGCTTTATAAAACAAAGCAATTACTCTGAATAATGATAAAGGAATAGATAGCAAGGATTATAATTGTGGATATTACAGAATTCATGATTTTCTCAGTTTTGTTAAATAGAGCATGGTATACTAATCTTCTCAAAGATGGAGAGTAAAACTAAAACATTATGATCTGATCTTTTATTATATATGACCTTATGTATATTACATATCTTTTTACATTACTTTGTATATATTAGATCATTAGATATTTAAGAAATAAAAGTAATGACAATAATATGCACATTTTAAAAGAACAATACACTTTCACAGGTATGTGTTAATTTCACAACTCTATGGGGTAGGCAGGGTAAGAAAGGGCATTGAGGTTCACAGAGGTAGTGAAAGGTTCAAGGTTACCTCCTGTTCACTTTACTATTCTTTGAAACTACTGTAATATTCACATAGTGAAAGATACTTTGTTATACACAGGATGCTTTCAGATAAAAGCTGTTTATCATTTTTTATCTAAATATATAAATCTTTTTGGTGGCTGCTAAATAGGAATCATAAAAACTTGACATTTTGTACTTTTCAAGTTTGAACTATCTTCTCACCATTACCACTGAGGGGATGCTGGATTAGATGCCAGTAGCTTCCCTTTTCTCA